AGTTATTGCTTGCAAGTTTGTTGTCTTGTTTGAGTTGCATCCTGCTGCACCATATCAGAATTGCTGGCTTGGCATATTCAATGTCAGTCATGTACGGGCTAGCAAGCCAAGGAGAGGCAAGACGCTGCCTCAACTCCGACACGCAGCGGGCGGGGGTTGCATTCACAGTAACCGACACGGGTTGCCTGCAGGTGCCAGCATGGGTGTCTATACCAATTACCCGTGTATTTGAAGGTGGTTGCAAACACGCATGAATCACAGCTGCAACGCAATTTCATCAAGGCGGGCAGACAATGCAGGTCACACAGGACTGGCTTGCGACTGTGCCGCCTGGGCAGACAAAGGTTCAACCGCTGCCAGACCTACTGCGAAGCCCCATTAGCCCATGTTTGAAACCTGCACAATAATCCCCGTATGGCAGAACTCTACCCCCCTACAGTAGAGGTAAATCAGCAAAATGCTGCAAATCTATCGGCTCACGAGAGACCAGCAGTGCTTGTCCTGCAGGCACATTACCTGGAAACTAAAGAGTTAAAGCTGACAGGGCTGGCAGGCCCGGCAGGGCTGGCAGCGTCGCCAGCAGTGGTGCCGCGGCGGCGAGGGCGCTCGTGATGGCGCCCGCAATGGCGACGACGAGGGAAGCTGGGTCTGGCACCGTTATCAGGCCGCCTTTGTGGCCCGGCTTTGCAAGCTGGCCGTTGACCTGTTTGACCGGTGTTTTCACGTTAATTGGGCTTGAAACTTTGACTGCACGCACGGGATGGGAATGCAGGGCCAAAAGAGAGGGGTAAGTGCGCAGGTGGGGCAGGAGATGAGATGCGAGGTTCTGTGACACGGGTACACAAAGTGCTTGTCGAAATATGATGGGAACCAATCTATGTTTGCGTGTGCAACTCTCCTGGGAGGGAGTCGCTTGGAGGCATAGTGGCGACGCACCTGGTGTACGAGTGATTATCTGGAGAGGCCCTCCTAGCGTCGTTGGAACAGACGCCACCTGCGGGGTCTGCGCCGGCAGGACCACAACCGGCGCTGCGGCGGGGGCTGCCGCCTTCTCAGGAATGAGGTGGGCCGCAAGCGCCTCTTTGGCCAGCAGCGCCGCGGCGCCCAGGCTTTGGGCCTGCACCGCTGGAGCAGACTGCGTGGCCCTAGGGGATGCAGCAGGGTCCGTGCAGGCAGATCGACGCAGAGCGAGGGCAGAGGAGAGGCGGACGTTGGTGGGCGCAACACCGTGTGACTGGCCGAAAAAGACAGTAAATGACAAAGCAGCGGCTGTCACACATCCGACTCCTGCTGCCCTGTGCCGCGAGGACTGCATGTCGAGTGCCGTTGACTCAATCTCTGCGGCGCGCTTATTGTCATATGAGCCCCATGCTCACCCCGTGACCGAAACAGGCGTGCTGGTCGACACGCTTTGTGTGAAACTCTGCTGCAGCTTGCGCCGTCGAAGGCCTGGGCTGCGAAAGGATTGGGCACCAGCCGCCACAGCTACAAGTGCCGCCAGGATCAGCATGACCAGGTACGACTTTGGCAGCATATTGGAGTGCACTGCGGGACTGGCCAGCGAATTAAGCGCGAGCTGTCCTCGCGGCGGTTCCAAGACCCACAAACGTGATCTGTGCTGGTAGACGCGTATCAATGGTATAATAGTTCATGGGATAAAATGTGAACTTTGTACATCGGAAACCCCTGCAAGCACCATGCGAAGCTTCGCACATCACTGGCCTCTCGGATTGGTCGACCGCTTCGGAGCTTTATGCTTGGATTTCCAGGCACTGCAATTGAACCAGACAGGATCAAAAACAGTAGCCTCCAAGTTTGAATGGCCGCAGGGGCGCCACGCGGGAGAAGGCGTTGGCCCGCAGCGGCAGCGGCGGCGCGACTTGGTTGGTTTGTTATGTACATTTGGGCACTTCGTATGACAAACCAGCCTGCGCACGCAAGGATCTTGTCAGGCAGCGTGGATCCAGATGTTTCTCGCAGGCGATTGCACCAGGTGTTGCAGCCACCTCAGGCCGCCCGGCCTGGGCGTTCGGCGAAGGTGCAGGCGGCATCAGCAGCACCAATGTTGGCCGCACCTGCGGTGGCATCGGCAGCAGCGTTGCCAGCAGCAGCAACAGCAGCACCGGAAGCGGCACCTAGAATGGTGTGGGCGTCTTCGCCCGTGCCCACAGCGCCACCAGCTCAGGCAGCTGGGGCACCTGGGGTAGCTGAGGCAGCGGGGCCAGTCTCGGCAGCAGCTGTGGCCGTGCAAGCGGGGGTTAATCACCACAGCGGCATCAGCCTGCTGGGCGCGATCGCGATCCGGGCGTTGGTGGGGGTCCTGGCGGGCGGCCCGCAGGTGCCTCAAGCGCCACACAGCTCCTTGGCAGGCGGTGCGAAACCCGTGACGCCAACTGTAACGCAGTACAGCGGCTACCTGGCCGCCACAACTGCGGCGGCGCCGCCGCCGCCGGGCGCTGCGGGCGCCGCGGCGGCGGGCCCCACCAGCACCTACGTGGTGTACCCTCAGCAGGCGGCAGGCAGCCAGGCGGGTAGCGGCGGAATCTCGATGCAGATCTCGACGCCTGTGAGCGTCGTCAACCCCATAAATGTCTCCACACCCGTGACGGTGAGTGCAGGATGGGACAAGGCTGGTTGCATGGTGGTCGCTGAGACTGTAGGACAGGGTATGGGACATATGTTTGGCATCATGGCTGCCTGCTGCCAGCAGTGGCGTCCTCCCAGCACTTGCGGTCTTGAGGGCAATTCCCCCTTCTGCTCACATGGTCACCTCCCTGCTTCTTGTCTCTTATTGCACAGCAAACCTCGGCCCAGCAGGGGCAGGGGGGCCTTGGGAGCGGCGGCGTGCTCGACCTGGCGCTTATGGCCGCCGCGCTGCGGCCCAAGTTGGTGGTGGTGCCACTGGTGCTGGGGCGGTAATTACTGGATGGACAAGTCGTGCGCCTACAAGGCTGGACGCAGTGCAATCTGTTATTTGATGTGCGATGCAGGGACGAGCTCTTCCTATGTACTTGATCGGTCGTTTTTCAAATTGTACTGCATCACCACCCAGTATGGCCATGGCAAAGGGCCCCTACCATGGCGTGTTGGCCTCAAGGAGACTCTGTTGTTTTTGCCGCTGCCAATGTTTGTGTTGGGCAGGCCGTGAAGCCGCTGCCTGCTGCAGCGGCTTGTTGGGTGGAGACGGGTGCAACTGTGTTGAACCCTCACAGAGCCGCACCTGGATTAGCCATTGGCCATCCGCTGATACAGCGCTGCTTTCAAAAACACGCTTCAAGTTGACAAAGGTTTACATGAGCAACGAGAAGAGAGAGAAAGTGATGACTAATGTACAGACAGGGTAAGCCGCAAACTCAAGCGTTAGGCTGGGCTGGCCAGGCGGGCGGGGCTCAAGCCAGGTGGGCTTGGCTCACTTTGTTGCTGCAGCGCTCCCACACGCGCAGCCTGGTTGGTAACCGCTCCGCCAGTCGCCGCCGCCTGCACCCGGCTGGTATAATCGCCCGCTGCGAGCGGCCACGCTCACGCAGCCGCGCCGAGCACGGCTTCGCTACGCCGCCTCTTCTCCTCAGTCATGATCGCCACCCTCCGCTTGAACTCCTTGTACTGGCATTTTTCATAAACGTGCCGCTCGTGGCCGCATGCCCACGGCGCGTAATAGTGGTTTACCCTGCGATCGACAATGTCCATGGCCGGGCGTGACGGGTGTGGTCATGCCGCCTCAATGGCAGGCCAAGATGCGGCGAGCAGAGCTAGCTGCACAGGACGGCACGGCCGCGTGCGCGCACGGCGCTTGCGCGAAATGCCTGGCGCAACATGGCAAAGCAACACGTCAGCTGCTGCAGGGTCTGCGTGCGGTCCTAATGCCTCGATAGAAAATAAACCGGCCTATGGAACTCGCCTGCAGTCGTTCAGAGGGATCAGCAGGTGTGCGCAGTAGTCCCGCCACGCGTAGGGCACCCGGGCAGCGTCAAGCTCCTCCTGCGGGCATTCATAGATACTCAGCGACTGCAGCAGGGCTGAAATGTGCACATTAGGATGCCCCCAGATCTCCACCTTTGTGACCTTCATAGGGGGCGGAGGGAAGCGGTCCGCCATGCTTGGCAGTATTCCTAGCGATCTAAAGAGGCTAAAGATGTCCCACGCTGAGTGAAAAGGGCTCGTGCTCTGCGCTGACACGCCCAGACTCTGAATGTTGTGCTTCGTGCTTCCTCTGTGTGTGGTTTTGACAAAAATCAAAAGACCCAGAAAATCTAATGTGGCGTGGTGGGGTGACAGTTGCTGTGGCTGTGAAAAACAAGTCGCTGCGCCCGCAGCTACACTGCTACGGCGACACTCGCCGCACGGTAAAGCGCCATGCCGGGGTTGGATTGCAGGGCTCGACGGTGTGCCCAGTTGTGCGCATTACATCTAGTCATGAGTGGTAGAGTGCCTAACGTTGCGTAAACGCATACGCATGAGCGCCAGTGAGAAACCAACGTCGCTGATGACGGCAGGGATGCCAGAGCTGGTCCGCCATAAAATCGAGCACATGCTTGCACCAGGCGCATGCAAGCCTCCGCGCCGGCAGTCGCTGTGTCGGCATCAAAGTATCGTTTCTGCCATAATTCTGAGTCAACGTTTGATCCACAGACAGCACTTTGCAGCAGCACTGCACTATGCCAAGCTCCGGCCGATTTGCGGCCCGCGCCGCGGCGGTGCACTCGCCCGTCACCTGTCCAGCTCCATCAGAGCCTCCGCGGCCTCCCCGAGCATATCACCCCAGATCTCCTCCACAACCTCGGCCAGAACCTCGGCCTCCTCCAGATCTGTGTCGACCCACCGCCGCTCCTCCGCGCGCGCCGCCGCGAGCACCAGGGCGTCGAGCCCCGCGTCGCCGCGCGCGCGCACGGCCGCCCACGACGCGACCTGGGAGGTGATTGCCACGGCGAGCTGAGAGGCGGGCGGCAGCGGCTTCGGGGTGGACCGGTGGGAGGACGGCAGCCAGGGGCCCTGTGGGGGTG